TCATGAATCAGAAAGATGAAATAAATCTTTTTTTTTTTTCTCACTTTTATCCAGTGTATTTCGACTGCCATGCACGTGGGCATTGTCAGTTTCACTATAGCTCTGGTGAATTTCAATGGTGAATTCCTCTGGAAATCTTCAATAATTGTTGTTGATTGCAGATGTATCTAGTAGTTCCCATTGATTTTGCTTGTAAAGTGGGGAGATTGGCTCTAGGCTTACCGCACCGTGACGTCACTGCCGAAGTACGCTGAAACACATCGACATACTGCGAGTATCTATGCCAGCGTATGCAAATACGTGGGGCATAAGTTACAGCTAAGTTATCTGATCGTTGAAATACGTTAGTTACTCACAAGTCGTGGCATCGTGTCAGGAGGAGTGAGGTGTTACTATATTTGGGCAAAAATGGGGCTCCCGGACTCGGTGATCGTCAATTTTTTTTACTGATTAACACTAAATTAATTAAATCAGAGCAAACGTATTAGTTTTAGATAATGATTAATTGATCATTCATTACTGACCGGACATTTCCTTTTAACAGAATTATTATATATTAAAGCTTGTAAAAAAATAAAAATAAAAAAAGCAATTTATTCACCTTAAAATAAATAATAAAGAAATCTAGTTATGAATAAATTATTAATAAATATTAAATTAAATGAGTACAGTTTTGCAGATGAAATCTTTGCTTCTAATTAATTTATTCACTCTGCAAAGCCCTGACCAGAGAAAACTCCGCCCCCTCATTTGAGTACATGATCAAATAATAAAAAAGTCCTGCAATGAAAGTAGCTTTACAAGATTAATCTGATTCATAATAACAATTAAGCAAAAAACATTTTAAAATAAATAATCTCAAACAAAAGACATTAGTTTTACAGAATAGAAAATATATACCTTTTATTTGGTGATATTATTATTTATTTATTTGGTGATATTATTTATTTATTTATTTGGTGATATTATTATTTAATCTATTTGGTGATTTTTTTTGCAAAATGCTTATTAATAGCATATTAACAGCAGTATTTATCTATTTATTTAATTATGATAGAAAAAAATTAAAGTTTTAGGAAGAATTATGGTTTCCAACACTATAACTACATTCAGTGAACTATAAAAACTAAAACATTTTGTAGTGTCAACAGTTTGCCTTGTAAAATATTGAGGTAAAATTATTACTTTTCTACAACATCATTAAACAATTACAGTATTTTTAATCAATTATTATATAATTATGATCCACTAATAAGGAAAACAATTATTATGATTTACTTACCCGGGCCTTGCTTGCTTCACAGGTTCTAAGACGTTGCTGGTCAGGTTGAAATTAATTGGAAAGAATCCAGTGTTTTCGATGGTGAAGTTTAGGGTTTTTTCAGTGCCATATACCAACGGACCAAAGTCAATATCACATACAGGTGTTATCCTGTATCTAAAAGGAGAGGGAGAGAAATCTCATCATCTTGTATTATGGTTTAAGGAAGAAACATTGGTGCTTGTAGGGGCACTGCAGCTCCTTTAGTTTCTTCTGTACCGCATGGAAAATCAGTCTAGCAACAAGTATTGAAGCGCGAGCAAGACTAGATGATATTCTTCAACTAAGAATAATAAAAGAAAACAAAAACAAAAGAACATCCACATTCTTATTACATAAAATCGGTCAAAAATGTCAGGAATCCAGTTTGTGTGGTCTGTTGTTTTGTGTTTGTCTCTTCCTTCACCACCAGGTGGCGCCCTGTCCTCGTTGGTCCTCCCTGCACCCCTGCGTCTAGCTGGATCATTATCGGGAGGAATACTTAAGCAGTGGACTGTCACTACCTCGTGCCAGAGTGCTTGCCAGTTTGGGGTACTCTAGCCAAGCTGAGTTTAGCTGATTTCTAACTTAGTCTTTCTTTCACTGAGCCTAACCTTGTTTTTGTCTTTGCCTTTTTGGCAGGAAGTCATCCTTCAAGCTGTATGTTTAGCCTTCTTCCCCTGGAAGCATTGTTTTGTGTTTCACACTGAGCAGGGGATTAACCTCCACACGTCTCGTTCAAGTTCTCCCTGAATTCCAAGTGGCAGTCCGCTCTATTGCTCGTCCGGGTCCAACGAATGTCTACCTGTCCACTCTCCAACGAGTCCCCTCTTCTCTGGATCAACCCAAACTGACTGGATTATGAAGTGAGGGAAAACCCCCCCCCGAGACGTGAGTCCCTCACTAGCATTAACCTTGCGGCATCCAAGATTCCCACGGTCCCTG